GAAGGAAGGAAGGAAGGAAGGAAGGAAGGAAGGAAGGAAGGAAGGAAGGAAGGAAGTGAGTGTAAAAAGCAACAGAAAAGGATTATTTTTTAAGATAGGAAGGAAGGAAAGATAACATAGAAAAATGGGATTCTAAAATGAAAATATAAGTGATAAAAAATGAAAATAGACTCTGAAAGAGAAAAAAGGGGGGGAAAAAGAAGTGAAGTGGAGTGAATAGTACTTGATTAGAATTGTGCTCTAATGAGAGTTATTTACCCACGCAAACGTGCAGTCTGTGAAATAAAAAGATAAAAATGACAAAATTGATTTTGTGAGCGGAACTTTTACAAACCTACTAGATTAACATATCTTATTCGTCGAATAGTTCCAAAACTTAGTAACTAAAATATCCTTGGAACATATTGCACAAGCTTTTTCATCTTAGTAACATTTTCTTATACAAAAAATTAAAACGTTAAAAAAAACGTTTTGGGTTAGAGAACCATAACTCTCCCACACAACCCTTAAAAAGAAATATTTTGTTTGAATAGATTAAATCCTTCTAGAAAATTCGTTTAAGATCCAAAAAAGATAAGTCATTTCGCAGATCGGTGATTTGAGAGCAAGTTAATTATCTTGAGATTAGATATCTCGGTGTATTTAGTTTAAATATTTTCTATTTAGAACTAAATTCAATCCTTCATATGTCTCAATCCTAGAGGAAAAATAATATTCAGTTTGAAATAAAAGTCTGAACTTTTATCGCTCAGTTTTGGGTTCACAAAAGGGGAATTTTTTACACTCAAAATACTAATGTGTCTGTGATGGTAATTCTTGACCATATGTCAAAACAAAAATAAGAAAGGACTTAGTTTCTAAATAATTAGACACGCACAAAAGCTTGTAATTTGAAAGAAATTCTTATGAATAACTGTATAATGTTAATGCTATTTTGAATTTAAAATTTCCTTAATGCCTTGAAATTTTTTAACTTATATTCATGTATATTCAAAATATAGCAGCAAAAGACTTGTACTAAACCTCAAAATTAATAGAATCCTAAATTTGGGAAATGAAAATGTGAAAAAATGCATTTTTCAAAAACTGAGATTTTTAAAATTCTTCATTCGTTCGTTCGATTTTTTATATTTTTCTATGATAGTTTCAGTTGGTAACATCTCATTACGTTTGTTATCATTTTTGCCTATGTGTTGATTTTTTACCGTGTGTCAAATGCTCAGAGTTATATTTTTACACCTTCAAAGAAAGAGTTAATTTTTTGGACCACAAAGTTCTCACGAACCATTAAATTTTTAGCTTCGCTCTTGCTTTTGTTTAGTTTTCCATGCGAAAAGAAAAGAAAAGGGGGTCAAGGAAAAGGAGAAAAAAGTACAAAGGATACTTGAAAACTTTATTTATGAGAGAATTGTCTTAATCAAATTTAAAAATTTGAAGTCAAGAGCAAAGCTTTAAATAAATTAAAATGGGAAAAAAAATTTGAGGGACTGTGTCAGAAATTCCCCGATGTAGCCAAGCTATTTAGCTACGTCCTTATTAATTTTTATTAAAGCTTTGAAAACCTTTGTCTTATTTGATCAATTTTTCAAGCGATTCTTTCAGCCTGTTTAGTATTCCAACACTCTCTCATTGAGCGATCTAATATTCTGAATTTTTCGTTTCTAACTTTCCAACTCATAACCATCTGTTATGAGTAAGTTTATGAAAACCGTGAACCAGCTCTAAGAGCTTACACGCTTTAGTTATACCTTATTTAAGCAGCCGAAATCTAAAAATAAAAAATACATAAAAAATACATAAATTGAAGCAAAAATATTATGGAATAAACTTCATGGAAAGATTCACATTTTACTAAGAAGTAATATTTTACAATTCTGGGTTTTGAAGAGCATTTCCAGTTATTTTCAATTTTCTGACTAATTTTACGTGCACTGTCAGGTATGAAAATGAAAGAATTTAACGGCGAAGTAACTTTGATCCATGAATATTTTAAAACCTTATTTAAGAGTCAGTCTTCACTAAAGCATACTTATAGATTTTTCCATTGGTTTTACCAAAGACAAACCTTTTTTGCTCACAGTCTTTTCCGTCTTAAATTGAATGAATTTTTATTCATTCGCGCAAATATTTTTAACACCTGCCAGAGATGCAGTAGGTATGCTTTCACCGTTGAAAACCAAAAAAACCTTCAGTCCCAACGGTATTACAATTATCCACGACCTAACTTAAAGAAAAAATCTTTAGTCCAAAAAAAGAAAAAAAAAAAAAATGGAGGAAAAACTAGTGCGAGTGCATGGTTTACAAATCAAACGCAGACTGATTGTTGTTTGCTCTATGGAGCTGTAGTTGTTCGATAAAGCGACCAAAAAACCCAAAAAAGTATCCTTCTACTCATTTATGTTCCTCTATTTCGAATTTTCGAATATTTCAGTCTCAAAATTATTGAATATTTGTTGTGAAAATATTTCAAATTTGGTCTGCAATACAAAATACATTCCGTAACGTCAAACTCGAGCTACAGAATCAAAACATCACAATAAAGATCTTGCTCGTCTACATTTCGACCTACGCATTCTCTAAAAAATATTGTATCTTCTAACCTGCATTTTGGTGAATATTCCTCTCGCTATAGTTCATCTAGGGAATACTAAATAAAGTATACTCTTGAACGCGCTTTCAAGCCCGACTCAATCTTTTTTTTGGCGATGTTACTAGATGAATTAAATTTTTAAATGACGATCTCACTGTTTCTCGGCGCGGGACAATTCCCGATACCAATTGCTATAAATATTTGATGATCGACTTTTCTTTACCTTCAAGTTACTATAGATTCACAGTTGGATAATCAAGCTTTGCTCTACCTTCCTTGGTACACACTACTCCGCTAAGATCGTTTCAAATTATGCTCCTTTGGCCAGAATTAATTGTATAGTCGCAGGTATATAGTTTTTCCTGTCAGTGAGCTATTTTTAGATTGAATATATTATTATGCTGATAAACTAGACGCTAGAAGCTCTCGAATGGGTAATGCGAAGTCATGGGATACTTTGTGCTTCTGTTAACATAGTTTGTTTGGTTAAAAATTTGGAAATGTCTTGGATTTTTTCTTCTTCTCTTGATGCTATTGTTTCATAGAAAGAAGTAAATATCGGGAGGAATATGAAAAGAATTAAAATTTATCGCAAAGTTTAATTCAACAGTCTTTAAAGTCTTTCAAGTTTCTTTGCTTTCCCTTTTTCTCAGAGCTTTCCTATTTCGTTTTTCTTAGATTCTTCATTTCACCATTTATTTTTTCCTTCCTCCCTCCTTTCTTATTTCTTTCTTTCTTATTTCCTTCTTTTCCTTTTGATGACTTGAAATTTCTTTCTAAACATTTAGTTTCTTAACGGTTAAAATGTTATGCCTCGGCTACCAGGCCTTTTTGTTTCCGCGCATGCGTATTAACTACACCTAACTTTTGCAAGAGTAATATGTTCACTTTTATCTGATCAAAATCATGAATAATAAAAAGGTTAAGTACCTATATTTAACGTCGGCAATTGTATTTGGAATTCAACTGCTATTAATGGAAGCTGACGGTGCGCACTTTACCCTTCTCTCCATCAGTGCTCTGTTTTATGAGTATTCTTGGGGTGCGTATTACGTCATAGCCACCATGTTGGTTGACTATACATAGCATTCCTCATGAAGCTTCTCTTGTTAGATCGACCATGAGGGAGCCTTTTTCATTGTTATTTATATCTCAAGGGATCCTGAGTCACATGGTTGCACTCCAAGAATTCAATCGATGGTCTTTTTAGTAGATAGAATAGACCAGGGCAGATGGCCATAAGACTTGTATTTTGCAAGAAAATTAAGGATATTTACTCTCAAGGTGTTATGGCAAGATTGACTATCATCGAAGGTGTTCGTATAAGAGAGATTGACTATTACCACGTACAGCTGGTCGTAAAAGAGAGGTTGACTATTACTACATACAGCTGGTCGTATAAGAGAGATCGACTATTACTATATACAGCTGGTCGTATAAGAGAGATTGACTATTACCATGACGTACAGCTGGTCGTAAAAGAGAGGTTGACTATTACCACGTACAGCTGGTCGTACAAGAGAGATTGAACTATTACCACGTACAGCTGGTCGTATAAGAGAGGTTGACTATAAACAAAGTAGTCGCGTTAGAGGGGTCGACCAATATAAGATGTGGTCGCATAAAAGAGCTCAGCTTTTACCAAACAAACGTTGATTATTACGAAAGTTGACTATTACGAGAGGCGATCGCATAAGTTCAATCAGCTCAGTGATTAGAGCATGGCACCGCCAGGGCACGGGTTCAAATCCCGTTCAAGACTCAGAATTTTTTCTGAGTCTTTCAATTTGCAGCTGCATAAGTTGCTTCATATACTGCGAGGATCAGCTCACGTTGATAGAGAGGTTAACTATTGAGAAGGTGGTCGCATAAATGGGATCGATCGAATTAAGATGAGGTCGCTCAGCTATTTCCAAACGAATGTTGATTATTACGAGCTCAAAGAAAAGTTGACTATGATGGCATTAGAGTGGTCTACGATTATCTCAAGATGGTAAAAGCGATGTTTATTTAAGATGGGTCAAGTTTCATTATTAGTTTCCAATTAAGAGAGATGGTCTCTATAAAGAACCAATTGAAATAATGGAAGTGTTTGGACAATGAAAGGTGGTCAGACTGTTGTGACCTTGTTCACCTTGATTTTCTCTGCGGTTTTGTCAACCCTTTGAAAAGCAAAGACCACTACAGCTTTCATTCTCATTTATAAACTACTCACTGCGTTAGAGAAACCTATTAAGTGTTAATGACGAAACCAATTTAAAATCGCTTGAAGTTAAATAGGTTTTTAATGAGTGACAGATGTCATTCAAGATAATTAAACAAGCAACTAATAGGCTTTTGTTCATTATTCCATAACTATATTTCCCTTCTCTTTTTTCCTTTTCATTGCTGTTTCTTTTATTCTTTTTTGTTGTTAGCCTTCCACCCCTTACCCTCCAACATATTTTTATCTCTCTCTCTCTTTTTCGTTTGGTATCCCCGTGGTAAAGGAGAGATAAGATTGATTCGCCACAGGGAGCCCCTCAAAGCTGTCCGGAGAAAGTCGCCTGGTGCGAAGAATAGAGATCAAAACACATCTTATATGCATAAGGGCAGGCTTATTAATATATTATATATTCGAGAGACAATGCATGGGTATTCCGACCACCTAACGGTATGATTAGATAGCTAAACCTGTATATCACGACCAGTCAGCTACTAGTACCTCTCTACCACGACCCGGCACCCGCATGACCACACRGTAATACCTCGGACAGATGTTATTAACAATGTCTTTCCTTCACATGGTGCGCTTTCAGTAAGTAAAAAGAATTCCTGAACGCCATCACTGTCTACTGCGCATGCGTAGTGATTACCATGACGTCACAAGCTTTTGCGCGTCCAATCTACACATGACAGCTTGAGTTACGTTACGTTGATCTTTCCTCTCCTATCTAACTAAGAAACGGTTTCCTATCCCTAACGATCCCAAGAAACACTTGTCATTTAATACAATATGCCTGCATGTCGCGTGTTTATGCAATATTGTTTTGAGRAATAAAAGCAAATTGAAAACGTGTCGACGAGAATCGAACGCACGTGAATAGCCCCTAGATATAAGAAAAGTTATGTAATCAGCTTACTCATGATTTATGATTTGTGATAAAAAGCTCGTGTCCATGATGCTGTGTAGGCTACGTGTGGAGGCGTTTGTCATCCAAAAAATTAAGCATGTCGTTATTCGATAAAAAGAAGTTGTTGGAATCCCTAGTAGTATAGAATTCAATATAGCATGCGTTGGGCGCTGTAGATGTAAATTGAAGACGCGCAACAGGAGAATTTGTACGAATGAACGGCTATTTCTATAATAGTTATTCATATTCGTGTTTGAAGAGAAATTTTGGACCTCTCTAATTCTTACTAACCCTAGCTCAGTCTTAAGAGGAAATTCGTTTTAATGGCAAACTGTCAAGTCGAAACAAATGGAGAAATTGAATCGAAAATAATTTGAAAAAAAAAAAAAATTCTAGAAAGACTTTTCGTTCAACCTACGGTAGATGAAAAGCCTCGATCAAATATCTCATCCTTCTGATAGGTATTGCTCGAGTACTGTCAATATTTTGACACAAGATACCCATGTTTTATATATTCTGTATAATTTTTCTCGTTATTTTGGTGGTGAAGGGCTTCGCTTCCTTCAATTTTGCATATCAAAATAAAAGGCTATTGGATAAATATCAGTACCTACCCTTAGAAGATTTCTTTTTTGAATCGAGTGGTCAAATAATCCTCTTTCAAAGCCAGACACAGGCATCGAAATCATTCTGTTCCAAGCCGAAAAAACCGACGAAAAACGTCTCGCTTTTTTCAGCTGTTTTAGCGAAAAAGCGAAGAAAAGACTTGGTTTTATCTCGCAGTAAAACCCTGTTGTCAGACCATTAGGGAACAATTAGTATTTGTTTGAATGTTTTTTTTGGGGGTACTAGTTTCTAAACAAAATGAAGTCGATTCGCTGTCACTTATACCATCTGCTTAAAACGCCTAATGAAATATTCATAGTTGGGCGATTTCACAAACGAAGCCTCCTCAACAATAAACAATGCCTTGCATATTTAGTATTTTAGAAAATTGAATTCAAAATCTTATTTATACTCCCTCGACCGGGAATTCGCCCACCTGTGTTTTCTTCGTATATTATTGTAAATCCAAACTTTTGTGTTTCTTCTGAATAATCACAGTTGATTGTCGTAAACATTTTTGGATTTCTCCCACAAATATRCATACTAATAGAAGAAGTAGTAGTAGATATTTTATCTGAGATATTCTTTATACCTTAATAATAATTTCCGTTGCCCTAAAAAGGAGTGTTTTACTGATTCAACCAATTTAATCCACACACTCTTCTCCAAGAAGTAGGCGACGAGTAAATTTCTACCTAAGATTAAGAATGACTGACGATTCTTATAAGAAAGACAAAAAGCATTCCTTAAATGGAAATAACGCCTTTTAATGACCTACATTCAAGATCGAAGATTTTTATTTTTCTTAGGAAAATTATAAATGTAAATGTAATCAGGTAATGATTTAAATACTCAGCGTGCAAAAATTTCCTTGTTCGATAGTTCATTCGCTAGATAAACAAAACCTTCCTCGAAAATAAGTAAATAGATAAAATAAGCAAAAATCACTTGCAAAATTCACTAATATATGTCTTCTATATAAAGCGTGGTAGTCTGAGGTAGCCTGTCTTTTCAATTCCGTTTTGGCCGACAATGCATTGCGCGCCTAGATTAGGATTTAATTAAAGCGGTTTGATGTAATCGTGGGCTCAAGGTATACCACAGGGAGTCCACTCAAGATGGTAAACGACTTTTTTCCTCTAATGTTTTTAGTTTCCTCTTCAGTTGATCATCAGACTAACCATCAGACGTCAAAAAGTCRATCGCTTTATTTTGTTTTGTCTTCATTCGTTACTGCTTGGGCTTCCTGTGTCGAATTTTGAAGTTTGGTCGAATTACATCACATCAGGGATCACATTAATAATATTAATAATATAACATTAATATTTATTTATATAGCGCATTTCTCCATGTATTCCCAAAAGGGTTTTACAACAATAAATATTATGAATAAATAAACTATTACAACATTAAATTTGCTAACAATATGATAATATATTTTTTTAATCAATTTAAAATCGGACATTAGTACATTAGTACTCTGGCCAGCGGTACTACTCTAACAAGCCGCATTTCATTAGCTGAGAAAATCACGCAATCTTCAACAACGTTACAGATGTGTTCGCACGATTGAATTCAATGCGCGCAACGAAGTAGACATCTACTGTACTTTTGCAGACTGCGCGCAACTGCTAAGACCTGCGCACTCGGTGCTATTTCGTCTGGTATTCAGCGGTCTGTTCTGTGTACATGCTAAATACCTTATTTGATATGTACTATTATCATTAGGCCTATATGTTTGGAATTTAAACCATTCGTTCAAAACTCTGTTTACTTTGTCAGTTAAATATTTTGTTCTTTTAAGAATTGTTTTTACTTGTGTCGGAATCTGAAACAAAGTTGTAAGCATGCAGCTCATACATGAAATTGCACCTCAAAACTGATCATAAGCGTAACCAAGAGCCTACGAATGGAAAGCCCACGTTTCTTCCGATTCCGACGTCCTTCTGACTCCGAATCAATGACAACTTCATTTTCTTATTTTCACTTTGTCATAAGCTGCTGCAGCTTCCGATTCCGATTCCGTCGCTAATCAAAACGGCCTTTATGAATAAATCCTTAAGGTTCATATATTCACAGACTTTGAATTGAACCGTTTATTAATATATTTATTTATTTATTCATTTATTCATTCATTCATTCATTCATTTATTTATTTATTTATTTATTCATTCATTCATTCATTCATTTATTTATTTATTTATTTGTTTGTTTATTTATATTTACATTTATTGTTTTTTTACATGATAACCTCGTTAGACAGCCTCGAAACATCGACGCTTTTACCTTTACTGTCTACGTTATGCATACTTTGCTTTACCATTCGTATTTGTAAATATTGTGACATTGAAATGAAGCTAAACCTGAGTAAAATTAAAGGTTCTGTAATCAAAGAACACAGCGGTAATTTGGAACTCGATAAAGGCATATAATACAAAAAATATTTTCCCGTTCTCGATTTTATAGTTAAAAATATATGTATACTTTTATAACAAAAACAGCTTTCAATAAAAGCTGGGCATAGGATAAGCCTTTTACCGTATTGCTGTACGCTTCCTTCCGCATATTGCGTGCGGAACGCAGTCAAATACAACGACTAGACACATAGGTCTTCATGGACTTTGAATTCTCTTAAAGACGCCGAGCATTGATGGAGAATTGTGTCGAACATGCGCCCGATTAGCCTTAAGGGGTACAAGTCTTTTCCAACTAAGACCTGCCGACTTATAACAGACTTCTTTATCAAAAAACGTCATTAATCCGCCACCCACACGGAACGCTAAAAGRCTTGAAAAATAGACAGTTATCTCCACACGATGATTGGTCGTGGTTTGCCTTAAGGGGGCTTAACATAATTCAAGATAAATTAGCTCTACGCAGCATTAGCTACACTGACAAATGGCATATATTTTGGTACTTAAAGGGTGCGTTATTCGCCTCACACTTGAAGCAATATTATCTTGATAAGGAACATCTAAGGATATAATTTTGCTGTCTGCAGTTGCGTAAGAAACAAAAGCGCGTAAATGGTTTTGATGGATTTATGGTGTAAAACAGTCATTTGAGATAGCGATGGTTTCAGATAAGCGTAATATAAACTATGAACTGGAAAAAATTTGAACTGGAAAGCGTTTGCTTTTCTTATTAACTTTTTCTTTATTTCATTCATTCTTTCTTTCTTTCTTTCTTT